AATAATGGACTGAGTCTTTTTATTCATTTCAAATTTTAATACAAATGTTATTTATGGAAAATTTATGCAATGGACAGTTTCAGAAACGTATATGAAAACAATTTTTAACTAATTGAAAATGAAATTCATTCAGTTTCATTTTCTATGATCTATTTTGAAATTAGTTAATTAGCCTATTATGTACACCTATATACTGCATTTACATATATCAAGTATATAAAACCATTTGGAGATATTAAAATACGTAAGAATGTGCAACAATTTTCGACAAGATTCTATAACAGATAAACAGATTAAAAAATTGTGTACTTCAATTTATTCTGCGATTTTGAATTTTCGCTATTTATTTTAAAACAATAAAAATAATGAATTTTGTACAATTAGTTTTTGTAACTATGATAATAAAGTTACAGAAAATGTAGTTTCTAATTAATAATAAATCAATATGGTCGATTGACCTTGCTGTTTTATATTAATCGATTGACAATGAAATATAAGAGATTCTCGTTATATGGCCGTAAGTGAGGTTGTAAAAGCTGAGAGTTTTTGTAATTGACAATATAGTAAATTAGATAACGCGTAAAAATGTTCACGTAATACACTGAAATTTCAGATTGTTGAAATTCCAACGAACAGAAATTACAACCTTTGGAAGTTACAACGAATGTAAATTGAAACCTGGGCAAATTACAGCGCACGGAAATTAGTACTTCGGTAAATTACAACGAGTGAAAATTACTATGTGTAGAATTTACAACGCGTAGGAATTATAATGCAAGAAAACTGCAACGTGTAAAAATTACAACGCAAGAAAATTTCAACGTGTAAAAATTGCAACGCGTAGAAATTATAATGTGAGAAAATTATAACGCTTGGAAATTACAGCGCAAAGAAAATTGTAACGTGTAAAAATTACAACGCGTACAAATTACAATGCGTAGAAATTACAACGCAAGAAAAGTGCAACGCGTAGAAATTGCAACGCGTGGAAATTTCAACGTGTGGAAATTACAACGCGTGGAAATTACAACGCGTAGAAATTGCAACGCGTAAAAATGACAACGCGTAAAAATTACAACGCGTGGAAATTACAACGTATAGAAATTAAAATGCGTAGAAATTACAACGTGTAAAAATTACATCGCGTAGAAATTACAACGTATAGAAATTACAATGCGTAGAAATTACAACGCGTAAAAATAACAACGCGTGGAAATTAAAACGCATAGAAATTACAACGCTTGAAAATTACAACGCGTGGAAATTACAACACATAGAAATTGCAACGCGTAAAAATTACAAAGCGTAGGAATTACAACTTGTGGAAATTATAACGCGTAGGAATTACAACGCAAGAAAATTGGAATCTGTGAAAATTACAACGCTTAGACAACACTATGCGTAGTTGCAAATCGTGAAAATTACAATCGCTGCTAATTACAACACGTGAAAATTACAACCGTTACAACCAAAACTACAACACCTATAAATTTCAGCGTATAAAAATAAATATACTCCATAATACACCTATCAACACATTACACGTCGATATAACTCCACTACAATACATAAGACTCCTTAAAACTCCTCGAGGCCATATAACGAGACTCCACTACAGACACGATTGAAACCGTTTTAACAAACTGGTTACTCTGATTCTAAAATCGATAAATAAAACCCTTCATTTTTCCTTCCCTAAAATACCCCAGAAATAGTTCCATTTTCCCTGTTCGTAAAGAAAGCAAGTTTTATTTCACAGACGAGCTATCAGAGTTTATTTATTTTCTCGCAAGAAATGACCCGCGCGAAACTTGGTAATTTCGCCCCGGGCAGGAAAAAAAACGGTACATTCTGGGGAAATCTGTAAACTTGTACATTATAAAACTTACGGTTCCACTCTACAACGAACGGACGAAAGTTTCGCGACATTTTTCTCGCAACACTTGCCAGCGACTGGCACAAGAAACATTATTGTTCTCGCTAAAATGTTCTCTTACGTGCACGCTTATCGACGCGTTCTATTTCGCCGACTGTATTTACTATGGAGAATTGATTCATTTAGTTCCCATTCTTTCCCATACCGTCGCAGCATTTTCCGGAGAAAATGGCAGCGGTGTAGCGCGTAATGGCGGTTATTTCAACGTTCTTTTGTGAGAACAAAATTTACAGTGCAAGATCAATTAATATTTGGTTTTTTACTTATAGGAACTTTCTGTGTAAAATGGTGGTGGAGTAACGTGTAATGGCGGTCGGTTTAATGTATTCTTCTTTGGTAATCGAATTTATTGTGGAAACTCAACTGATATAGTTTTCATTCTTTCTTTTCATATTTTGTTATTTTAACAGTTTCTAAAATGGTGGCGTATGGTCACTTGAGTAACACGTGTCTTTTTAGTAGGAAAATTTATTGTGGAACATTAATTAATTTTCGTTTACTTATTTTTGTTTAAAATGGCGGTGAAGTATTATATTTCTTCATAATATTTACCATGGAAAATCAATTAATTTAGTTTTATATTTATCATTTTCTATATAAAATGGCGGCGAAGTAGCACGTAATGGCGGCACATAAACTATGAGACTAAAGTAGTATTATTGCAAGTTGTTGAATGTTTACAAACTTGAACTGTTATTTATTAATGTAACTAATGAACTATTATCTGAATAACAAAGTAAACGTTTCGCTATTTGTTTCCTGAAAAAACGAATATCTATAGCAGTACCCTTGAAGAGGTTATGTTTCATTAAAAGAAGAATGGAAAGTTTGTGAACTAACTGACTACAATTTATCAAAAATTGTTGCACATTTCTTCAATATGTACTAGGTTTGTTCAATTGGTGCCTTTTGGGCAGCCCTGAAGTTTAACTTTATACTGTACTCGATTATTCTTGATGTTATTACAACTGTACACTGAGTGTATTCATATTTTTTTTCATAGAAATCTTCCTTTAAATTTTTGCACTCTTTAATACAACTATCTTTGAATATTTGTATTTTGATATAGTATAGGATGTTTCAAAATAAATTGCTCAAACTTCTCTTTTAATAAAAATAATGTGAGTTTCTATAGGAAGATTCATTTAAGGATTTTGTACTAATTTGCAGTTTTGTTAAATCTATAAGGTTCTGATTATTATAACCATTAGTTCTTATTTATCAATTCCATCAAACTCATAAGTTATACCATTTTTATAGCAATATATGATTTTCCTAAATCTACAAAGAAATACTGTTCAAAAATCATTCTATTTTTTTCAAATTTTCCTGTATAGTTTCATTAGTAATTTCTAATTTCATTAAAATTATTGAAAACTTTTATAAATAATTTATCCCATAAACGTGTCTTATCTTACAACGTTGTCACAAAATATTTCCATGTAACAATACAATATAACAATACAACAATACACTCTACATAAAATAGTCTTACTGTAGTATCCTATACTGTACCCTATTTTGAAACAACCTATAGAAATACTTATCGAGCCCACAGCTTTTACCTCTCATCCGACATTAACCCATATTCTTACCATAAGCCTGCTTAAATATTTCAGCACTTCTACAAAATAAAAAAAAAATATATACTGCAAGTGTAATATTAAATTAATAACAAATTCTTTTACAGCGATATTTTGTTCAGTCCCTTTTCACATATTTCCTGTCCTGATACATAAAGCTATCATTGATTTCTGTCAGAAACGAGGTCACATGAAAATCTTAAGCTCTTAATGGATTAATTAGCTTCGTTTCGTTTCGGCTCGCTCAACAAAAAAAACTGTCACAGCTGTTGAAACAGTGATTGATCGATTGTTTCAGGACATTACATACACCTCTCTAACTGGTACAAGACTTGCCTTTTACACAAGGAATTTATTTGGTTGATAGTTGAACATTTGGCAAAATGATATATTTTAAAAATTTTTACCTTCTATTGGTACATTAAAAATTGAAGAAAAGATCATTTTGGTGATGGAATTGTAAAATGAACTTAGAATGCACTTTTGTGTAACTATCATTAAAATATATGTATAGATAAGCTTATAAAATAGTCATTTCTTGACAGAGTTAGTTCTTTATACCAGGTTTCAAATTTCATAGATTCAATAATTCACAAAATTTATAAATGCGAATTCTTTAGATTCTGAAATTTGCATGTATTCAAATTTCCATATTTTCCGACTTAAAAATTTTGATACTTGCAAATTTGGAAATTAGATAACTTAGAAATTTAGCTTGTTACTCCACAAACCTGGTGTACTGATTAAAAGAACTGGCGAGATAAATCGACTGTCTTCGTCTTGTATCCTGTCACTCTGACAATACACTCACAGTCATAAAATAAATCTGTAACAGACTATAAATCGATGATCCTATAATAAGCTATATTCTACATCTATCAAGCTTCCTATACTCCCCTCCTCATCTACCTTAAATCCCTAGATCTGTACCTCCACGAGGTCTACCTTAAATCCCTAGATCTGTACCTAAATCTGTACCTCCACGAGGTCTACCTTAAATCCCTAGACCTGTACCTCCACGAAGTCCACATCGTCTCTCCAGCCCAGGTTCTCCCCAGACCCCCTCCCAAACCCTCCGATTTTCAAAATAATGTCACAATCCCGGCTCCATATAATCTCTGCCAGATCCCGTATCCATTTCCGAACGTACATCCCGAAAAGAAAACAACGAAAAAGAGGATGCCAGCGGAAGGTCAGAAGTAGACGCTGTGGGATTCTGAACGGACGACATGAATCGTATGACCTTGACGGGGTACCAAAAGGGTGTTCAGGTATCAGGATAGGGGGATGATTGACAGATAGCATCGTGGATAAAGGCGACACTTAATTGGGGGGACCAGCCGGCACTTGGTACACGGTATCGGGCGCGGCCATTAGGCATATCCTGAGGCCCCGGCTGTGCCGTCACGGGCCCCGTGCTGTTGTTGTTGTAGTTGTTGCTGTTGTTGTTGTTGTCGAATGTAGTTTGGTGGTAGACATACCTCGAGGCGGTCAGTACGCGGCATCTTCTGCGGCATCGCCACCGCTTGCGGCACCACGCCTAAGGGACTTCCTACTCCTGTGGGATCCGCAGGACCCATTATCGCTGGCATGATCGGGCTGGGAGCGAAATAAGGGCTGTACGTGTTGCCAACCTGCGGCATACCGGTCAGGTACGGATTCGTCGCCTGTGGAAACACACACCCGGATTGTATCCAGGTAACTGCGATTAGAACGAGGCAGACGGACGGTTCACGCGAGTCTTGGATTACGCCATCTTTATTTGCAACTTTGGTATTTGCTTTTAGCTTGTTAGTTCTGGCACGATAGCCACCCTGAGAAGCACGGTTCGGACCTTGCGAGCGGTTTCAAATATTACTGTTCTTTTTTCAATTATACAATGAATTTCATTTGCTTTTAGATGTTAGGTGGTTAGGTGGTTCAGGTGGTAATGTATGTATAGATGTACGTGGTTAGGTTAGGAGATTGGTTATTGGTTCTGGTGCATTATTAGGGGGTGAATTAGTACTAGGGGGTTGATTATTAGGGGGTGAATTAGTACTAGGGGGGTTGAATTTTAGGGGGCGAATTAGTGGCTGGAATATATTATTTGAAGAATGGAGGGATTTAGGAAGGTACATCTCTGAATTTGGGATGTGAACATATGGAAATTAAAATGCAGAGAATTATAGCATTTAGAAATATCAAATTTGATAATTTATAAATTCTACAAGGTTCCAATTGATGAACTTAAGAATTTACAGATTTGGAACTTTGAAAATTTAGTACCATGGAAGTAGAAATTTTTGTAATAGTAATTTAGTAATTTTGAAAGTATTTTAAAGATGCAGCAATATTCTAAGTGGGGAATTTGGAAATGTAGCAATTTTGTAAGTGGGTAATTTGGAAGTGTAGCAATCTAGTAAGTGGATAATTCTCTTTCTACCTCAGGAAGATGGAAATTTGTGTAATTTCTAATTTTTATAAATTTCAATTTCTAATTTTTAACAAAAATTCAAAATTAAATTTCTCAAACATTCTAAGTAAGTAATTTGGAAATTTAACAATATAGTAAGTGGATAATTCTCTTTCTATCTCAGGAAGATGGAAATCTGTATAATTTCTAATTTTAAAAAATTTAAATTTTTTAATTTTTCAAAAAAATTCAAAATTAAATTTTTTAAATATTCTAAGTGGGTAATTTTCAAATATAGCAATGGCTAACTTGAATAATAATTAAATTTTCTCCTAAATAATTCTCCTTCTATTTCAGATAATTATCTTTGGATCTCAGGAAGATGGAAATTTATATAATTTATAATTTTCACAAATTTTAATTTTTTCCAAATATTCTGAATTAATTTCTCTTCAGTAACGAACAGTGAAAATGAAACACACTCGCAAGGTCTCGACAGCTTTTCATCATCAAATTCCTTGTATCGATAAGAAGCGTTTAATTTTGCATAGAATTGATTTTTCAAAAGCGAAGCCAGGTAATTCAAAGCATAGTCGAATAAGCCAAACTCTTGCTCTTTGTTTTCTTCAAATCTGTGTTTATGTACACTTTTTACATTTTTGTAACAAAATTCTTGCTACAAACAAATAATTCAACATTATGGAACAAAAGTAACCTTTCTTAAAATTTAAGTAACCTTTGAAACTCATAAAACATGTGCAGATATATTTTATCAAAATTTGACTGAAAATTCATTATTCAATTAATAAAAATTAAAAATAGGTTATATGTAAAATTCCATAAATTATTTAAGTAACATTGAAAACTCATAAAACATGTGCAGATATATTTTATCAAAATTTGACTGAAAATTCATTATTCAATTAATAAAAATTAAAAATAGATTACATGTTAAATTCTATAAATTATTTTATCTTTATAAATTTAATAAACAATTAATAATACAAGAAATAATAAATGATTAGCAATAAATCCAATAAACTGATAATTTAACCAGTAATTTAAAACAAACTGACCGATCGAACAAATCGTTTGAAGGAACACTCGAAATCAACTTAATTTAGAATACAAAATAAACGAAGCTCTGCAATGTTAATATTGGAGGAAGGAATTCTGATTCTCTGTTAAATTATAGAGAGAACAAAGAAGATATAGTTTCAAGTTTGCACTTTGTAGTACATCGTAATTAAATTTGATGCATCAGTAATTTCGAATGACTGTCAAGCATGGAACTTGCACGTAATAAGGTGCTGAAGTTTGTTGCTTGGTTGCTGTTTAACGATTTACTGAACTGCAAAATTACACCATGTTGAAAAACAAATACAACTTTCGTCGAATTTCGGGGCTTAGAGCGAAAGTTTCAATCGAAAAACTTGTTCCATAATTTTGACTTATTTGACACTTTGATGGCTGCAAAAAATTTTCATTACTTTAAGTTCTTTTAGGGAATTAATGAAATTGGACTCAATAATTTCAGTTTATATATATTTTAGAGGAATTGATTTCAAAATGCGTCATTTTGTGTTTTGTAATTATGAAAATTTTAATTTTATAATATTTGTTAAGTTAAAGAGAAACAAAATAAAAAATGACAGTACAAATTTAGAATTTAAAGAATTTGTGTTTGGAGGGACACATAACCTCAAAAAGGAAAAGAATAATTCAAAATAGAAGCAAGAAAGAACAGAAAGAAAAATGAGGAGACTAAAAATAATGACACACAAAAATATAATTAGTATAAATTATCAGAGTACGTAAAATTCATTAAGTAACTTGTTATTTATGTAAACAGAGCAGAAACTCAATACTTTTGTTTTTTAACAAAAAGTCAATAAATATTATAAACATTACACTATTAAGAGAAATAATATTATTAGAAAGAAAAATGATCATAAATAATATTATTCAAAAAATATATATAACATTATAATTTTAATGCAATACTAAAAATTATTAAGAAACAAAAATAATCATCACAAATAATAGTATAATATACATCTGCTTTATAAAAAATAATCAAGCTTTATAAAAAAAGAATCATAATAAAAAATGCAACAAAATTAACAAATTTCATAATTTACAAAAAAAAATGATCAGTAAAGCACACATTTACAAATCAATTCAAAAATCAAACATTATACAGTAAATTTGTACCAAGAAGTACTTCAAATATTAAACTGAATTATCGGCCACAATTTTCTCAAAAAATATTCAAAAATCCTGCAAAAGGAAGTTTTCAAAATTTGATGACTCGAATAGTATAAAAAGCGCGGCCATTAAAGTGTAAAGGCGCTCACCGCCATTTTGTAGTGCGAATTTTGCTGCGCACTAACTGTCGAAAACGTTTATCGGCGCTCGAACCGAGCAAGAATGGCCATTGACCCGGAAATACGTTTCTCGTTACACGGGAAATAATAAGTTTCCTCCGGGAAGCTACCGTGCCTCGATCGTTTTATCGTTTCGCGCGTTTCCCTTGTTTTAGAGCCGATTTCGCGGACGATATCGCTGTTACAAGATGCAATTAGAATTCTCTAAATCATATTCGAGATACCACGTTCGATTGTTTGCGTGAAAATTATTTGACATGATGGAGGAAGCCGTTTGGTACAGTCGGGTGCAAATCTGGTTCAAATATGGTTGAAACTTTATTAGGGAAATTGTGAAGAAATATAGAGAGAGATTTTGTTTAGTGATTGACGCGTTTCAAAATTTTGATATTTTGAAATATGGAAATGTGGAGTTATGAAAGTTTGGAAATCGAGGTAATTTTGAATTTCGGAATTGAATTTGGATATTTAGAAACTAAGGAACTAGGGAAATTTGGAAATTGGGGACATACAGGAGTTGGGGAAATTTGAACACTTGAAAACTTAAAAATTTAAAAATTCAGAATTTTATGAAAGTAGAAATCTAGAAATTTGTGGAACTAGAAATCTAGAAATCTAGAAATCTAAAAATCTAGGAGTCTAGAAATTTAAAAATTTAGAAATTTAAAAGTCTAGAAATCCAGAAACCGAGAAATCCAGAAATCCAGAAATCCAGAAATCCAGAAATCCAGAAATC